TTTTTTTGCCCTGGAATCTACTGTCCTGGTTCTCTGCTCAGTCCCCTTTTTGAACCAGCGTATGGGCGACTTCCCGTGGCTCCAATCACCAGCCTAAAGGGCCCCCAGACCTGTGTCTTTTGTACGGAGAACCGCGGCTCTGGGGGGCCGACAAAGCAGCCGCGCGGGGCAAAGCAGCGGCACTGGCCGGCACAGCCGCGCTGGCGACCGTGGAGCTCCTCTGCCCGGGAATTTCCTAGTCTGTGGGCAATAAAAACACGGCGTCCACTCACCCTCTGCGCTTTCACTGGGAGCTGCAATCCTGAGCTGTTCCTAAACGGCCATCTTGGATCGTCCCCCCACAAAGTCTAATTTTTTAAAAAAGAATTATTTTAACAGGTTTACTAAAGCGTAATTTACATACTACAAAATTCATTGTATATTTATAATTTTAGCAAATTAAAAGATTTGTGCAATTATCACAACAATCCAGTTTTATAACATTTCTGTCATGTCTAAAATTTCTCTCTTTATAGTTAATTCCCACCGATATCTCAAGCCCTAGACACCCGACGCGCTGTTCCTTCTGTCTATATATTTACCTCTTCTAGGTATTTCAAGTAAATGAAATCATACAACATGTTATCTCCTGTGTTCAGTTTCCTTCACTTAGTTAACACTGTTGAAGTTCACCAGTTTTGTAGTATGTATCATCATTTTCTTTCTTTTTGTTTCGTGTATTAAAATTTATTTTCTCATTTTTCATTTGTGTAAATGTATAAGGTACAGGTGTAATTTTGTTGCATGCATAGATTGCATAGTGGTAAGTCAGTGTTTCTACAGAATCCATCACCCCAATCACATACATTGTACCCATTAAGTAATCTCTCATCATCTGGAGTGCAAGGGTAGAAACTTGCTTTGGGAAAACTACCCTCAGGTTCATGGTATCTCCCCTGCCAGATAAGTCTATTTTTGTTCCTTCTTATTGTTGAATGATATTGGCTTGTATGGATGTAGTATCATTTTATTTCTCCATTTACTAACTGAAGGATATTTGGATTGATCTCAGTTTGGGCCAACTATGGTGAATGCTGTTCTGAACACTTGAACACATGTTTTTGTGAGCACATATGTTTTTATATCTCTTAGGTAGACTCCAAGGAGTGTAATTGCTGGGTCGTATGGCAAATATATTTTAGGCTTTTTTTTCTGAGAGGGAGTCTCCCTCTGTCACCAGGATGGAGTGCAGTGGCACCATCGCCACTCACTGCAACCCCCACCCCTCCTGAGTTCAACTGATTCTTCTGCCTCAGCCTCCCGAATAGCTGTGACCACAAACGCATTCACCATGCCCTACTAATTTTTGTGTTTCTAGTAAAGACAGGGTTTCATCATGTTGGTAAGGATGGTCTCGATCTCCTGACCTCCTGTTCTACCTGCCTTGGCCTCCCAAAGTGCTGAGACTACAGGCATGAGCCACCATGCCCAGCCACATATAATAAACTTTTTAAGAAATTGCCAAATGTCCAGGTATTTGTAAAATCACACACTCCCATCAGCAACACATAAGGGTTAAGAAAATCTGTTTGCCTTCAGATACGATGATCATGATGATGATAGTATTAGAAACAACATCGGTCTTCATAATTTTATATTTTCTCTTTATGTTTCAATTGTTAATTTTTCAGGATTCATTTAGTGAAAGAAATGAGCTTGGAATACAATTTATCAAAAACTGAAACTGAATCCTAAATCCTTCTGTTTCTAATTCTAGACTCTGTTTTACTAGCATATTTAATAAATATCAGTAACAATGCATTTGTTTTTAAAAATTTGTAGTATATTTTAGAAAACATATAGTATATTTTAGACTTTATAGTGCTAGTCATTTCTTCTTTTTTTCAAAAATTTTTCTGGAAAATGTATTTACCTCAGAAAATAACATGTCAGCATACTTAATTGAGTTCTAAAAACAATCCTTTCTGCTTGCTTTTTGATTTTGTTTTAATTTGAGTTAATGGCTGAAATTTAATACTCTCTCTCTCTCTCTCTCTCTCTCTCTCTATATATATATATATATATACCCAAAACCCTGAATTGAGGTTGCCTATCAGGAGTCTCTAGGTCTTCATGCAGCATTTAACTACCAATACTAACAAACTGATAGTATCACAATCTATCATTTCCCTAACCTGAAATCCATCTCTCCTACTCCATCCACCATTTCTTTATTTTTTAAAAATATATGATTTTGCTCCTTTTCTTCCCTGTGCATCAGGCCCATTCTACAAAGGTTGAATCCTGGCTTGTCTGGGCCCACGTGATTTCATGGTCATATCAATGTGTGAGAAAGTGGGTACAGCAACTTTATTAGTTGCTCCTTATAAAGGCACAAAGGAAAAAGTAGTATCCTTTTCCTGCCTTTGGGAGTTGCTGGGAAAGAATAAGAAACCTAAAGGTGCTGCAGGGGTCTTCCTACCATCTCAGGAAAGCTGAGGTGCTGTGTGTTATAGAGAGATGAACTATGAAGTTCCAGGATCACTGGTGATGCCACTGGCCAGCAGAGTTGAGCAGCCTTAGCTCTATCGGCTATGTGAGATAATGGGTTAAAGAAAAATAAAACTGACTGGATCAGATTTCCTGCTATTAGCAGAACGCATCTTCACTGAAATATTCATCCCATACATTTTAGTTCTACCTTATAATTCCACACCACAAGTCTCATATAAAATGAGACAAATCATTTCCTCAACTTACGGAACAAGGCCTACTGGTTGCAACTCTGGGATCAAACAGAACAGACATAATTATCAGCTTAATATATTCCTATAGAATTTATATGTACTTGTACTGCTGTGTATGTACAAGTAACATATAACTAAAAATAAAATATGCATAAAATACTGATGATTATAGCATTAGGTCTTGGTAATTTATGCGCATAAAAGAAACATTAAGTTTGATTGAAAATAAAGTAACAGCTGTCTCTGACAGTAGAGAAATTATGCTCAAATAATTATTACTTTGAAATAAACTTTTGAATTGATAATGTACTTTTAGATTGGACACATTTGAAACTGATTTTCAGAACACAATGAATAACCCTCCATCTTCTAAATTTGTCTTTCTCTGAAATCTG